GGGCTATATGGAAACATTATCAGAGAAAGGCAACAAAAGATAGTTGAATTTTACAAAGGAGTGACTCATATTACTAGAGAGAACTGCAAGTGCAAGTTGAAAGTCTCCCTCTTCTCTCTACAAATCCCTGCCTGCATTTGCTTTCATGTGGCATGCAGTGATATAGCAAAAGCAGTGGATGAAAGTAACAAGCAGCACAGGAAACAAAGGCAGGGAAGTAAAAACAGCTTATGTTATTTCTTGACACATTTTAAATATATGTCACTGTCTATACATAATCCATTCAATCTGCAGTACAGCACACAGCCAGTATTGAATACCTATTCACACCATTATAGTTTGAAAGCAGAACTCCAGCCAAAAATAAAAACAAAATGAAGTCCATTAAACATCAAATAAAAAATAGGTTTATGAGGAAACCTAATTTTACTCTGTCAATCCAGTAATAGCACTTCCCAGACTTCACCCAAGGTGAACTTTTCACAGTTTAAAAATACATTATTAAAGGTGTTTTTTATTTTGCATTTTTAATAACAATTATTAAACAATCTTTACTGCACTAACAGTTAAAAAAAAGTGTGTGGGTGTTCACACATTTACATATACAAGTATTTATCTCCTCCCCTAATGGAGGTCTCAGGCTCTAGCCAGCTATATAACATTTATGAAGCATATAGTGCAAAGCATAGTTCTTGCAGCAGTAGTAGGGATCAAATCATTGATGTACCCTGAAAGATATACTTCAGTGGAGGCTGATGATAGTGGGCCAAGGCATGCCGACAGTTTGGTATGTATCTCAGACCAGGAATAGCTCAGAATGGGACACGACCAGAAGAAATAAAACAAATTAACTGGGCTTTGAAGGCACTTTGGGCAGTTCGAGTGATGGAGAAAACCCATTTTATGGAGACAGTCAGGTGTATAATCAGTCTATCGGCTGTACCGATGCCTTCACTGACCCAACAACTGGTAATTTTCTTGTACATCTTGGGATAGTGTAGGAATGTAAGAAATTAGCTTTTTAAAGGAGTTCTCAAAGGATTGAAAGCCAACTGTTTGTAGTAGGCTTTTACATCTTTTAGCTAGATGGATTTATAGAGAAGATTCTCAAGTGAATCTTCATAAAAGGATATTTGGAGGGAGGTTCTTGAAGGTTAGGATTGTACAACAAGTTTCTGTGGTGGACAGATGTGAGTTAAAAATTAGTATTCTGCAGTAGGGCCAATGGTAATAGACTTTTCCCAACTTACCTTTAGACCAGGAAAGTCCCCAAATATTTTTATAATATATAGGAGGGCAAAAAATAAGGTCTCTGACCCATTCATATATACCAGGGTATCATCAGAGGAGGATGCAATCAATCAATAAAGAAGCTGCAATAGCGCACACCGTTCTGGTTTACCCCTATAAAAACAGATGGGTTCCCAGATATCAGAATTAGCATGCACTCTAACATACGGTGTATCGTATAACATCCTAACCCATTTAAGGAAAGATCACTGAGTCCATAAATAATTGACCTATGAAATGCAAGGCCTCCCTGATTGTCTAAGAGAGGCATCTGGTATAGGAGCTTATGAATGCACTCTGACAGTTTTATCTGCAAGTGTTCTGAGGTGTTCTCAGCTGCAATTCTATCAATTTGATTAAAGGAGAACTATGAGGTGAGTGCAGCGCTGACTGGCGGAACGGACGGGGGAGGGTACAGCTGGCTCTGCCTCTGGATAGGCAGAGCCAGCTGTCACTCACGCAGCTGGGCGGATCCAGACATAATTGTCGGGATCCGTTTCAGCTGCGCCGTCTCTGTATACCGCAAGCTGTAGCTTGCGGTATACTGAGCTTAGGGTAACGGGAGGACGCTAGTTTGTGTCCTCCCGTTACCCTAAGGAGAACTTTGGGGAAAAGCCCTAACCCCATAGTTCTCCTTTAATAAAGATGGGCTATTTTATTTGAAAATAAAATTCTGCTGCTTTGACTTTGATCTCTGCTGCAAGGTCCAGGAATGCCTCTATACCTACTTTGGAATTGTATCAACTTGGGTAGTTTGTGCAACTATATCGGCATTAGAATTTGTTCTTTGGGCAACTATCATGGATAAATATGCACCCCACATTACAGCTTTAAATGCATCCCATGCTACACTGTAGGTGCTTTGCGGTATGCTGGTGGATCAGTATTCAGGCATTGATATGAGGAAGGATGGATCCATGCTTTCATGTTGTTTACAGCAAATTGTGACCCTACCATCTGAATGTCGTAGCTGATATCGAGACTCATCAGACCAGGCAACGTTTTTCCAATCCTCTATTGTCCAATTTTGGTGAGCCTGTCCGAATTGTAGCCTCCGTTTCCTGTTCTTAGCTGACAGGAGTGGCACCTGGTGTGGTCTTCTGCTGCTGTCGCCCATCTGCTTCAAGGTTCGACGTGTTGTGCATTCACAGATGGTATTCTGCATACCTTGGATGTAACGAGTGGTTATTTGAGTTACTGTTGCTTTTCTATCAGCTTAAACCAGTCTGCCCATTCTCCTCTGACCTCTACAAACCATTTTCACCCACACAACTGCCGCTCACTGTATATTTTCTCTTTTTCAGACCATTCTCAACCTTAGAGATGGTTGTGCGTGAAAATCCCAGCAGATCAGCAGTTTTTGAAATACTCAGACCAGCCAGTCTGCCACCAACAACCATGCCATGTTCAAAATCACTTAAATCCCCTTTCTTCCCCATTCTGATCCTCAGTTCGAACTTTAGCAAGTCGTCTTCGCCACGTCTAGATGCCTAAATGCATTAAGTTGCTGCCATGTAATTGGCTGATTAGCAATTTGTGTTACAAACACAAAGAAAGTATTAATATAATAATCATATTTATTTAAAAATATAATATATAAATATACAATTGTTTTCAAAATTAATTAAAATCATTCACATATTCTTCTACAATGAGCTGTCTGGAAATAGATTCCTTTTATCCTATATAGTAGTCCCAGAATCCTCCTTTAAAGAAAATCTGCAGAAACATGTATGGACGAAAGTAAAAACTTGGAGAGCCTGATTACATCAGTAATGATTAAAAATGCCTGGCAATAACACACATTCATGCACTAGAGGTCACTGAACCCTATATGGCCAGGACAAAATTTTGCAATGTCAGTATGCTTTGCTTAACTTGACTTGCTCTATGCGTAATTTTCCTACCTAAATCAAGTTTACATTTTAAAAAACATATTAGGGATTTCATTTGGTTCAATGTTTTAATAAAAGACTAGCACCGTTTTATTATAGGCTGAAAATTGAAGAAACATTTTACTTTTTTAATTACCATACATTTTTTGAGTACTATAATTGTATTACACAATTACTAAACTAAAGACTAAGACTAAAGCCTTAAGCTTGCATGTGATCAATATGTAATTGCTGGCATAATGATCACGATTGTCAACCACTGGTTCCTGAACTTTAGTCAGTGACAGCTTGGTTTTTCAGCAACAACCTCATAGCATGGCAGCTGTCAAAGAGATGACATAGATTACTGTAACCTCAGCATGAGCATAGTGGAGGGAAACATTTAAGTACAGATTGTTTAAAACAAACATTGCTCCACAGTGGGCACAATAAGGTGCACGGGTGTGTCTTCAGTGTTGGTGTAAACCTCAATAAAGAACCTCCAAATGCCATATACAAAATACTAACATGTGACAGCATTCATGCCTGGTGACTGTTTGCTGATTCACTGAGCACTGCATTGAGGGCTGGCCAGCGGGCCACATCTTCCAAAGGGACATTGTCATGAGAGGATATTTGAGGTTGCCATTGATGAACTCAGCTTTAGAAATGCTAGTTTTCTAGCTGCCAAGTTGATATGTTAGCTCTATTGCTGTTTAAGTAGCTGACCTGGAACAAGTATAGAAAAAAAAATGAGGTCCGATACTTTTCGAACACACATTAAAAGCATACATGTTTTGGGTTTGTGATTCAAAAGTAGCTAAGTCGGACACAGGCAGGCAACTAGCATTTTCAGCAGGTGACCAGCAACAACAGCCCTTATACATCCCTCATGACAGAGTCACTTTAATTCTCTAACCGTAGAAGTAAAAGTGTTTTATGGGTCCACACATGCACCATGCAGATGTTTACATTAACACTGAAGATATGATAAAGCCCCTTTGTGGTGCCAGTTATGCTGATTTGCCGTTAGTTTAAAATAGTCTCCTAAAGCACAGGTTTGCTTTAACTACAAAAAAATATGGATTCATCTTCTTAAAATGATGAATTTAGGATATGTTAGCAAATGTATGTTACATTTTGGGTGCATTTGACCTTTATACATGCTTTTACATTTCTAATATTGGAATATCAGTTCAATAATCTCTATGTTTTTTTATGAAATGTTAAACTAGTAAACTAGAGTTGTCCTTTAATACACTATGTTCTCTTCAAGATCTTATAAAAATGGGTGCAATGAGCACTTTCTAAAACATGTGGAGACATAAGGTAGTCTGCAAAGTACAATCATTTCTGAAATGTTACTGTGACCACAATGAAACCTATAGATGTAAATTTAGTTATAATAAACAAGATAGTATCATGTCTGTCATGTCATAGGCTCAAAATAATTGCTCAATAGCCAATAAAATCCAGCTGGACAGGTCTATAACCTGTATCATTCGATGACTACATTGAAATCTGTGAAATGCCATTAAATGCAAAATTTAAATGGAGCAGAGGCAAAAATTGAAACAGTAAATCCTAGTTCTAATTTGTGTAAAACAATTAGACTATAAAAATATCTTGATTGCTATATGCAAAACCTTCAGTTTTTAAAATCAACCTATAATTTGTTTTTAATGTTTTTCTTTTATGTTAATGCCTTTTTCCCCCAAAAGCAGTATATGAGCCAAATGTAAACAAATAGTGGGCCACAGATCATGCATATTAGCAACATTGGACACCATTAGTGCAGATTGTAAGTGTGGTTAAAATAGACTTAGTCTACAGTAATATATTAATTATAATATTGTCATCATCAATAAATATTTAGATTAAACTTGCCAGGAGGGCTGCATCTTCACACTTTTGCTTCTTTGGAGGCTTTTGCTCCTTTGACGTGCTGATGCAGAGTTTTGACTCTGTTGTAAAGACTGTCTTTCTGATGTTTCCTTCTCATTAGGAATTGTGAGGGAGTTCTTTCTTCTATATGCAGACAGCTGAGAGGTGATATTTGCTGTCTCTTGAGTGTAACTGACAGGAGGCTGCCCCCTTCCAACTGTGCTTTCTCCCTCTGATTTTGCCGACTGATCATTGGATGAACTTCCTTTTTGTTTCCTCTCCATCTTTAAAATTCTGATGGCCTCTAATGCATGATTCATTTCTTGTTTTAATCGTTCTATTTCAAACACAGACCGATCTCTTTCTTCTCCACATTTTTTGATCGAGTTGTCCAAAGAAGTAAAGAATTCCTGGCCCAGTTTTGAAAAGGCCTCTTCACCTTAATGAGTTAAAAAAACATGTCAGGGACAGTAACAAAAGGAGCCAGAAACAACTGCAATACATTAGCACCGAGCTCTCTTTGCCAAGAATGTGTCAGCCCTTAAATAATGCCATAATTCTTAACTCCCTCCATACTTGAATCTTAACTTATAAAATAAAATTTTACACTTAAACTGCACCTATGCACAGACTTTAAAAATAAAATCAGTTGTGAAAGAGCTTTAAAACAAGCTAACCCTGACCTCTCTAGCTACATGTACTGTGAAGTAATTCATTCTCTGATATCCTCAAAGATTACAACAAACTCTCTAAAATCAGGTTTCTAACAGCCTGGAAACCCATGCCGTAGAAAGTTATATGCCTCCTTTGTGATCTTTAAAGGATTTCTCCACAATACCTTTAGCTATACAGTAGAATGAAGTCTTGTTTTAAAATGCCATTACTGTCCCACGTAAACAGCTGAACTCCAGGCAAACAGCCGAATATAAACCTGAGATACACATACTGTATGTGAACTGCCTATTCTGCTAGAGCAGGGGTAGCCAAACTACGGCCCTCCAGCTGTGGTGAAACTACAAATCCCATGATGCATCTCTCTCCGGGAGCCATGTCTGTGGCTGTGAGACTTGCAATGCCTCATGGGATTTGCTAGAGGATTTGTAATTCTATTCTATTGAGCCACTTTTGTAAAACCGGTGAACTTTTCTCTGTAAAGAAAAGACATCCATCCTTATAACGTCCTAATGGTGGCAATAGCAGCACGTGCCTGGCCAAAAAGCACAGCTGTGACAATGCAGGCGCACAAATGTTTTAATCTGCTGTAAATTGATTTGTTTATATCTGCCTGAACTTTAGCTAAAACCGCTAACACTTATTCTTTCCCCCTAATATTTAACTTCCCCCCTTACCTAACCCTGATCCAACAAAGTCAAAACTAAGCCCTAATACAATACTAAACCCTGGTTCTATATACTTACCTCATCCTGGGATGGGAGCAGCTGCAACAAATCCTCACAACCATTAACTACGGTACTAATTCATGTAATGATAAAAGGAAAGAGCTTGTGTTGCGGTGATGCTATAGCAAACCTTGCACACTTGAGCCGTTAGTGTTTAAATGAAGGTTAGAAAATGTACATAATAAAAAGAAAACGATAAATACAGGTTTATTTAATACATCAGAGAAAAAAACAAATCCTACTGCACCCAGATAGATCCACTCACTCAAGAGAATTCTCATTTATTGGTATTATTTCTTGTAATTTGCCTTGCAGAATAAAATAAAAAACATTGAATATTGGTGGTCATTGGTTTATCTAGGTCCTTAATTATGTCATCCATTATAAAACTGTTGGGGGTATCTAAAAGAGTCGTATAGGGTTATTCCATCCAAATTATTCAGTTGCTATTGCAAATTATGCACATTTGAGGTAATTAAGATGGTCTATGTGAGAATTAGCAAGAAACTTACAAAGGGTGTGTTGGGAAATATTCTTCCGATTTTAAATTTAGGAAAGAGGTGTTTCCAGATCACCAAATTAAGAACAAATCAGAGGAGTTAATAGCAATTTGTGGATGAAATATTGAAGCCCTGAGTAGGGAGACTGTTTAGCCTGTATGCTATCCAAGGCTTAATTTGCTCAATTTTCAAATTTGATTGGGGTGTACCTTTAATGTGCTAATGCCATAAATGAATCAAGGAATTCCTTTATAAATAGTTATCAAAACACAGGATAATATATCCTAATCACAGTGCAAACTAATGCACAGTCACAAATCTACTTATTATGGCATAGCACAATTTAAAGTAATACTGTAAAAGAATATATTGTATAGCATGGCATATGGTATAATTACAACGTTATGCATAAGGGCTTTATCATTTTACGTGACTTAAAAATCCAAGTAAAACAAGCATGCTGCAAGAATAAAGAGCAATTATCCAGGTGCCAAACAGGAGTACAATAAAAGGCACAAAAAAGAAACAGCCAGAGTCCCTACAAAAACATAGGATTTGTCACAAATAAAACCCTAATGGAAGGTTTGATAAACACTATAGGTGCTGTGTGAGGAGGGGAGAAAACAGAAAATTGCAATTTCATTCCTTGCTGTTAAAAAATTGAACAAGTTAAATTATTACCTTCACATCGCTGTGTCTTTGATGGAGTCAAAATGTCAACTGCATCCTGAATCTGTTCCACATTGTTCTTGAAAATTGTTAGGAAATTTCTCAGGGCAGTTTCGGAAGCTTCACTTTTAAGGTCAGCGTAGGAGGAAAGGACATCTGCCAAACAAGATTGAAAACAGATACTCATATCACCTTCATACAGACATATTGTTATTTTATATGAAGTATACATATTTATATATGTCTCATTCTTCTCTACTGAATGAATCAACTCTAAGTCTTGGCATATGTTAAAAAATATACATCTATCTTTGTCAGTAGCTTGACTGGCAAAAGTGTAAAAAACACAGCCAGGAGACAATACAGGTTTTGTCACAGACAGAGGTTAAGATACAATGCCGTAACTTATTTTTTGGTAGCTTTATTAAAGAGAACTATGGGGTAAGTGTTTTTCCCCATAGTTCTCTTTAGGGTCACGGGAAGACATATACTAACCTCCTCCCATGACCCAAAGCTCAGTATATCGCGGGCTATACTGAGAGCGCCGCAGCCAGGACGGATCCTGACAATACTGTCTGGAAATCTTAAAATTCAAACTGTCAAACTTGGCGATAGTAACTATTGCGGCGGCCGGTTGACAGCATCTATGGCTAATGTAGGGTAGACATAAAAGACTACTTAGTGCCACATTGTAACATTAGCACCTGACTGACAGTCAGAAAATGTTGAGGGTAGGAACCTTTTCATGAGTGATGATGTGATGACCTGTTGGCCGTGGTGCTAGATTTCTGATACTATACTGTCAAAGTCACATCCAAAGATAAATGGTCACCTTGTTCCAGCCATACCGGCTTACCACTACTTGCTGCAGGCAACGTCCAAATACATTTATTATATAATATACATTCTATTTTGATATACACTTGCACTTCTTTATAAAACCTTTCTTAACTGCACTGAGAGATATATGCAGACAACCTTTGCCTTAAGTACTTTCTGAGTCACTGATTTAAAACAAGCATGCAGCAAATAAAATCAGAGTGGAATCAGAACCTTCTAATATCAATACTTGCCATTGGCTCGGCCATTGCTAAAATCACTGGACCCACATAGAAGTATATAGAAGGAGAGAACAGCAATAGCAGCTCATGCATTGTTCTCAGCACAGGCTTCTTGTACATAAAAAGTGAATAAACATGAACATTCATGTTTGCCCTTCCTATGCCCGCCTCCAGAGCTTCCTTATTGGCTCTTTAATGTTGTGGGAAGATGTGAGGGAGGAGAAGGTGGTATCAAACTTGGCTTTCTAGGGTTCATTAACACAAGTGCACAGGGCTGTACATTGCCTCGATCAGCATATATCAGGGGCAGAATGTACATTCAGGCCCTGTGTTTTCATGGACCTGTGTTTACATTTAGCAGCAGCCAGTAAGCCTGTATAAATCAATGACAGGCTGTCACTGTCAGCGGCTGCATAATCACCCAAGGAGCAATTACCTGTGGTTAGGGACAGATAAGCGGCTCTGGGTGCAGACTGTTCATGCCCAGAGGTGCTCATCTGTCCCTAATTGTAGGTGCAAACAGCCGCAGTCAGTTATGGCTATACATGTAATCATCTATTTATACAATAACATAGGAGAAAGCCTTCATACAATTTGGGCACTTTCAAAAATTTGTGAACTTTGTAAAACATATGGAATAAGGTTATTTACCCTTAAAAAAAACACACACACACACAAATAAAATATCTACAAACGGAATAAAAATGGCTAGGTTTCAGCTTTCATATGTCCATCAACACCTTTAACATTTTAGTAAGCAAATGTGTACAGGGGGTAAGGGATTCACATAATCGCCACTGCTTATACCTACCTTCACTTTGCTACCCTGCTGTTTTGCATACTTGTGGGAGCAATTACATGAATACCTGTTTAAGCATCAAGTTACTAATCAGAGACAAATGACTCTCCTTATTCCTGCATGACACCACTTGGCTGCTAGAAAAACACTTCATCTATGCATTATGGGAGGAAGAGGAATAAGTCACATGCTCCAAAAAATTAGTAGCTCCAAATATTTATCTTTGCTCCAGGGGGCCAAATGGAGCAGTGGGGAAACAAAGGGAAGATGAATATACATAGAGGGAGGATAGGCATTTAATGCTGAACTCCATCAGCACCTTCAGTCTTGCACAATTATACAGTATGTTCTCCTGTACTAAAATTGCTAACTCTAATTTCACTGCACACTATGGGCGTGTAACAACGCACATTTGAAGATGCAGCAAGTCACACAGAGCCCACCTCATTTCCTGGCTAACAAATATCCAGTATTATCTAGCTCTTTCCACCCCAGCCTTACTGCCCTTGGCCTGCCCCAATCATTCATTAGATTTCAGTTCCATCAAGCATGGAGGCTAAGCATCACATGTGGGCATTACCTAGGGCAGTCTGCATGCAAATGCAACCTGCTTAGGTACGTACACTCCTCCAGACTGACATCCACCCATCAAATAATTTTGATATTTGTATAATAATTTTGTACTCATAAATTATATTAGCATGTTGATGAGGGACAAAGGAGAAACCATGGAAGGCACAATACAAGCAGATTAAACGTCAGCTTTAAGTGAACCCATTCTTTGGCTTGCATAGGCAAAGCATATGTTTACTTTAACTCTATGCCTCAGATACGGACATTTTCAAAGTGCCTGACACTTGTTTGTGCCCTGATCTGCACAGGCCCAAAATTACCATCCAACTATATGGATGTCCGATGGATTGTTCCTGACAATAGGAAGCCAGGAGAAGCCAGAGTAACAGTTTCCAGACTTAAAAGAGTATAAAGGGTAAGAACATGCTGCTTACTTAATTACAATGTTTACGATGTGTCTTATGCACTTAATAGACTGTATAGAGTGTATGAAATAATAAACAAGGAGTAAGGTGGGAACCATAAGAACAGGAAAACAATATGTAAAAAAAAGCAAAAAAGTTTAATGTCCAAAAGTGTTTACATTAGTCCGAGGCTCACACAGGTCAGGCCGCTGAATTTCTACATTACATTGAAGCCTTGAGACAGTACACTATGCTGCTGTCATATTATAACAATAATAAATTACCATGACCGAGGTTTTTCTAAAGGGTAAACCAAATAACATCTCTGACCGTGTTATGTTGACATGAGTGCCTAGGATGTGCTAATGTTTTTTCATGTCTCACTAACCTTTAAGTGGAGAACAAACAACTGCAACAACATTTTCTTGGAAATTGTGATAGGCTTGTTTTATTCCTTGGAAAAGTGATTGCGTGTACTGCACTTGTAAGTTGTAAATTCCTCTGTGGAACTCAAGTTCAGCTTCCAGAGCAAGAATCTGAAAAATAAAGTTACTAAATAAATTCATATACATTACATGTACATGGTTAATGACAGAAAATTAAAGGGCACCTGTCACAGTGGAAGGGCTGCACACGGAGAGGGGTCAGAACGAAGGGTGACTTTGTACTGTAATACTAGTTACATGTTTTGTATTTACAGGTCAGTAGTAGAAAGAAGGCTGATGTGGTAATTCACAATACTGGCACTTTTATCCTCCTTTAAGTTAGTTATGACTATGACTACTATGGTGACAAATCAAATGATAAGAGTTTCCCTCACATTTGGCCCCAGTGACAGGGGTTACCATGACTAATAGAGTGAATCTTTCTAGTAGGAACACAGAGACATAACAACCTGCTAGGAATTTTAAAAAAATGTGGCTTTAGATATACTTACAGACAGACCTTGCGAGGCATTAGGCAAAACTTAAAAATTAGGCCCCACTCATGTCCATAATGGAAAATTGATGGCTCTACAGGGTCTTAGGAGGTCTGTGTGTAGTCTCAGGAGGCCGTGCAGGGACTCAGGACAGCTGTCCACAGTCTCATGGGCAGGTGTGGGTGGCACCGTTTCAGGAAGGAGAAAATGTGCGTCTGGCACTATAAATTGGCACTACAGTTCACAGAAAGCTGTGTGGGGCCTCAGGTGGCCTGTGTGTAGTCTCAGGAGGCCGTGCAGGGACTCAGGACAGCTGTCCACAGTCTCATGGGCAGGTGTGGGTGGCACCGTTTCAGGAAGGAGAAAATGTGCGTCTGGCACTATAAATTGGCACTACAGTTCACAGAAAGCTGTGTGGGGCCTCAGGTGGCCTGTGTGTAGTCTCAGGAGGCCGTGCAGGGACTCAGGACAGCTGTCCACAGTCTCATGGGCAGGTGTGGGTGGCACTGTTTCAGGAAGGAGAAGATGTGCGTCTGGCGCTGTAAATTGGCGCTGCAGTTCACAGGAAGGCTGTTGAATTTCCACGCTTGCTGGGGACCTTGGTAGCATTCCTGTAAACTGCGGCACCTGTTTAAAGCTCTGCCTCCAGTTTTAAAATGTAAAGCGCCAGTATCATACACTGTAATGCTAATCCTAATGCTGCCTGCGCACAGCAGCGTTAGAGACTTCTGCCACCTCTGAAGTAAAGTGATAGCTTTAGATTTTCATGCTGTCACTTTACATCGGAGGTGACAAAAGTCCTTAACGCTGCTGTACGCAGGCAGCATTAGGAGCCCTGTCACATTCAAGCATGCATCGCAGCCAGGGCCAGACTGGGACAAATAAAATAGGCATTTTGCACTGAGCAGCCCAATCACATGACCCCGATAGACCCCGCACACTCCGGGGGCAGAGCCAAACACAGTAGCACAATTGTGGGGCAGGGCCAGCCACTAGTAAATACAAGTTTACCCACTACTATTTTGAGCTTGACAAAGAGGTTCGCCTTGAAACGCGTTGCTCCATCAACCTTCCATTTCCTTTCACGCTGTACTTTATATCTCCAAACACAATACTGTCGAACCCTTGCACCCCGCACCACATCGTCCGTAGACACAAAGGCCGTTACAGACGGGATTTCAGTCAAAGCAAACACAAGATACTATCGATCCTCCACCAAGGCTGCATGACACCCAGTCCTCACCAGCTTTATGTAAGTAGTCCTTTTCAATATACAATCCAATTGGCCATGTGCATGCGCTTTTGTTGTTTTCATTGCTTGTACACTAGTAAATGCAGGAGGGCTGCAACCAACACACAATCCTTGCAACAATTTAGAGAGCTTACTACAGAGAAATCTTGTGCTATCACCCTCCATCCTCCGTGCACTGCTGTGTGTCAGGGGACACAGACAACTCTCTCTCTCTCTGCATGGGCGCTCAGGAAGACAGGTGGCTGGTCGACACCTCACTCGTACACACCGGGGGGGTCCTACAGGCACATCATCTGACCTTAGCTGCCTGTCTCAGTGCCTGCAAAACAGACTGCCAGGACCCTCATCTGCTGCTCCTGGCTGTGGCTGATTCACCCCTCTCACTCAGGCTGTAACTTCCCTGCAGAACAGCAGAGCAGATCTACACGGAGGGAGCAGGTCACTGAGCAGGCTGATCCACAGCGTCGGGCAGGCTAGTGCCTGACACTCTGTATCAGACACAATGGGCCGGCCAGGCTGATTGTGTCCGGCCCTGACCGCAGCGCTAAGGTGCCCTGTAATGCATTAGGCAAATTAGGCAGCCGCGAGGCCCTTGCCAGCGCGAGGCCTAAGGCGACCGCCTAATTTGCCTAATTACAGACAAGGACTTACATGTTACATGCCATATTATAAAGACACTACATCTTTAAAGTAAACTTCTGTGTTGGTGTGGTCTATCTAGCTATTCTATAAGGCGATAAATAGCCAGGAAAGGGAAATAACCCATAGAAACAAATCTTGAATTATGTTTATGGCTCTAAAGTGATGAAAGGTCAAATCTGGTTATCATGGGTTAAGGTGATATTAAAGTCAAATGTTTTTAAGCTATTGCAAATCCTGAGTAAATCACTTACACTGGAAGCTGCTTTTTGATGTTTAAAAATGTTGTTTCCTGTAGAATCAGCTGGTCCCTGAGCACTCTCCCGCATTTCCTGTTTTAGGGTTATTTTGGTTATTTTCCCTTGCAGGTTACTATGGAGCCACCCTTGTGTGTGCTGCTAAGCTGTGTGTGTCTGTACATACAAACAGGCACAGCAAGGTGAGCCCTCCACCCTGCTTCCCTCTTCTCCTTCCTTCTTTTTCCGTGCTAGTAGATGGACAGATCCTGTAGTCTGCTCTTTGCCTTGTGATTCTCTACTGGACAAGAAGTTTAGAGAAGTCGAGCTGTTCAGAAACATGATGACTGTAAGTGTTTGGGCAAAAATGTAAAGAAATACTTTGCTGGGCAATGTATACTTGTTTGATCTGGATGCACTATTGAAAAAAGTGTGAGAGTTTAACATTACTTTAAAGCAAACTACTGCTATTTGGAGTGTTATTAAATCTAATTTATGATCACATGTGTTTGCCAGATATATATACAAGGTCATAGATGTGCACAGTGACACACCAATGCACAAATCCATTTCCTGTCTCCGGACATGCAGGACTGATATTCATAGGGCTTAGTGTCCATGGATGTCAAGCTTTAAAGTGGAGTTGTGAAGGCAAGTGGATCTTTCAAAATATGTTTAGTGGCATTATCTCAAAATCTGGCATACATTTCAGGTGCATAGGCCATGACATTTGCTTTTGATGATCTGTTGTTATTTTAAATAAAGTTTATCCCTTTTTACATGGTCACTACGGTAGAATCTCCTCTAATGTATGCCAACTGTATTATAATCGCATACTCTGCATATGGAAAGTCTTTCCTTCGATTGGAATAAGAGACATTAAGGGGGTTATTCACTAAAGAGCGGAAGGATCCAGCCATAGCTTCGGCTGATCCTTCAGCTCTGTTCGGCCGCCTGAGCCCTTCGGTTCAGTCAAACTGAAGGGCTGTTGTACGAGCTATTCACAATAGCTTGTACGGCAGCCGAGCCAAAGTCATATGTTTCGGCTCGACTGAGCGAAGTGACAGCCGAAGCGGGGGGAGCGACCTGTCGTAGGCCGGCCATTCACCCCGCAATTGACAGCTGGGCGGAGCCATCCGTGATCTCATGGCTGGCTCTGCCCAGTTGTAATGACACTGCCCAGTTGTAATGACAGATCAGTGTCCCCAAATGACTTGGGGATGCTGAACTGTCATTAAACAATAACAACTGGGCGGATTTGGCTGCGACATCATAGCCGGCTGTGACGTCATGGCCGGCTCCACCGAGTTGTTATTCAGTTGTTATTCATGAGCCAGGACCTGCTAGAAGACGCTGTCACTGCTAGCTCCGCCCAATTGGGTTTAAAAAAAAAACCCAAACAATTCCAATTTTTTTTACATTTTTTAAATCATTTTTCAACTTTATATTTTTTTTCTGAATTCATTTCACTTATTTTCTATTCTGCCCGGTACCGATAGCCGAGCGCCGCTCGGCGGTATTTGGCTAGTCACTCACTGCCGTTCGGCCCCTATGAGAATAGGGGTGAACAGCAGCGAGTGAGCTGCCGGAGCTTCGGCTCAGCCCATCCAGATGTTGGATCAGCTGAGTCGAAGTACCTCTGCACTTCGGTTTAGCTGAACATGCAGAGCATGTTCGGCTGACCAAAGGTAGCCAATGTACGGCTGATTTCAGCCGATGTATAGCTGAAATCAGCCGTACTTCGGCTTGGTTATGGACTGTCTTTGGCAACTTAGTGAATAACCCCCTTAGTGTATTTGAATAGGACAAACCGCAGCTAGAAAAGCAAAGCAATGCAAAACAAACGATACCAAAAAAAAAAAACATCTACACTACCCTGTAGGTTTGAATTGAAACTTCAAATGCGTAGGAACCTCCTAAAATGTTTTCAAACTGCTTTTAAAATGCAGATTCCAAACGCCCATATAGACAAAGCTACTGGACTGCAGCTTAATAACTTACATATTAGTGTTATACACGTTCATTTTATATTCATTATACCTTAACTTAGCGTTGTCACTTCTTTCTAATGAATCAGTGATAAATTCCCTTTAATGTTAGCTAAGCCTTCAATTTCTCTAATCTCTACATGTCACCATGTGAAAAATTCACACACCACTAATATGCAGAAGTCTATGGTAGAAGGTTATGATATCTTTTTTGTCTGCTAAATGTCTGTTACTGCTTCTGGCTAAAGTGCTTTCATGATCTGGATGAACAACAAAGCTCTAATAAGCCAGTAAAACAATTTCTAGAGCCAGAAACAAAAAAGATCAATAAAATCTTTTAGAATGCATAATACCAGCAATTTCCTAGTCGATTTCATATTTTTAATCTTGATTGCATGATGTACCTTATATTTCACGTTGCATGAATTTGAGCAAAGGTTGTTTTCGGTGAAAGATTTTTGTGCCCCATATCTATATATATTTATAATTTTTATATACTGTA